GAACAGTCCAATGATCATTTTACTGATACGTATAAAGACTGCAAAGGCTGAAAAATCTTGAAGTCTGTATGAAATTGGAGGTAGTTTTAGGATTAAATTTTTATGCTTTTTAAGCTCAGAAAAGGGGGGGGTCGTATTATAGATGAGATTGTATTATACATGAATAAATACGGTAGTTCTCATCCATGCATGGACCACTTCTGGCAGACCACATTTGAGCCACCAAAGGGCTGTCATTCTTTGTGGTATCTGGACCAAGTGTTGGAGGGTTTGTACCTTGTGTGGGCCAGAACTGGCACATTTTGCTATGTGGGATAAAATAGAGACTGAACACAATCTTGACCGCCAATGTTTTTAATATTAAAAAGGTTATCCAGGTTAAAAACTCCTCACCATCAGATCCAAAGGTGATCTGCTCAGACCTCCACGGTCTCGTCTTAAATCCACACCTTTTACAGGTGCAGCCAGTCAAGGTCACTCAGGGCAGAGGTGTTGCTAAAATGCACGCCAACCTGTCTAGGACATACCCCACCTCTCAACGACTACTGGAGGCAGACACAGCCTCCCTGAGACACTGCCCTGAAACACCAGTATAACAAATAGAAAGTGGTGGGCACCAGCCTGCTAAAGCGCAAATCCGCCATCTGCAGACCTAAATATTTCTTTTGCGCTTTAGCGGTCTTACTAATTTTAATAATTCAAAAGCGGATTTGCGCTTTCTAAAATTAAAATGCAGTACCGCTAATTAATTATGTACCAGTCATCATTATCTTGAACAGCGGAAGGTATGGCTGTCATTGAATCACAATGCGCATGATCTATCCAACAGCACCCCTCCCAGATAAACACACTTATTGGAAAGGTATACATCCTTGCTGACTGTTGCTGTGGGTCACGGTTCTCATTTCCCACATTGCTTTGTGCCTGCTTATGTAGCAGACACTACTACATAGCAGACACATACTAACCTAAAATTCTGTATGTATTGATTTATTTTACTTTACAGTCGGAGCTCCTTTTTTTAAAAAAATAAAGTTTAAACGCTGGAGCTCAATACTTGACGTAATTGGTCGAAGCATTCGGCCAATGGTGTTAGAGACGCAGAAATGATTTAAAGATGTTATGCTGATGAAGACTGACATCTAGTGGTCAACTGGAGCAACTACGTGGAAAACTTTAAAATCCAARCTCTTATTTTGAAGGGAAGATAGTTTCCTGTAGTCTGTGCTTTCGTTTCCTGTCACCTGCCCCGAACTTTCACAGGGGCTTACGGGGCTCAAGCCCCCGCCCCAGAATGACATTATATATTTTTTGTGAATAAATAGAGCCAGGTGCTTTAGCCCTGAATGTTTTGTCATTAGGCCCTGATCAAAACGAGACCTGCTTTCTCATTGACCGCCTCTCCTCCAGGAGCGGGACAGGACGTTGCGTCATCGTCAGCTGTTTGTGCTTCCAAGCTGTGTGTGTGGGAGGAGGGAGACGGCTTTTTTTCCCACCAGCATCTCACAACAGCGGCTCACCTCGGCCCAGAGCCACCGGCCCATGAGATGCACCACCGGCATTGACGCCGGTCAGAGGGCTGATGGTTCAGTCCATG